ACTATTGCTGAAGTTTGGGACGACTTGACTTGGCTTGTCTTGACTTGGCAAGTAGCTGTAGAGCTTGCATTAGAAAGGCTTGCAGTAAAAAGAGCTTGAATGGAAGATGTGTTGGGCTAAGTGCAGATCGGATGTTTAGGGTTCAAATGCACAGTCTCTCTTTCCCCTCGACTAAGTAAGGTTTCGGAACTGGTCCAGGCCACCCACTGTCCAGTAACGTATGCGTAGTTCAATAGGCTTACTCTGGTAATGTCTTTGCCTAGAGCAGGACAGGGACGAATTTGTAACTGTGTCAGGTTCGATGGGAGGAGAAATCACAGAACAGTCTCTGTTCAGTCCAGTAGTCAAGTGAAGTGGAAGGTCACTGGCTAGGGAAGTTATCATCTCCTTCTTGAAGCTTGAATTAGTGGACTGTACCCTACTATTCAAGTACCGGGGCGGAAATCATGGAAGAAATCAGTAAAGGCACCCTCTATAAACACCAAGAAACAAAGGGCGACAGCATACGACGCGCCGCGTCGTGCGTCGTGTCGTGCGTCGCGTCGTGCTTCATGCGTCGTAATAGGCGACGCGATGCACGACACGACGTACGGCGCGAAGGCGACGGTGCGACCCGACGGCACGACGCAAGGGAACCGTCGTGCCGTCGCGTCGTGTAGTTGCGTCGCCTGGATGGAGGCTAAAGAGAGAGAGAGAGAAATGTTTGTCGTAAATAGTACACTATGGGTTCGACCCGACGTGCCGTCGCGTCGTATAGTTGCGTCGCCTGGGGGAGGCTAGAGAGAGAGAGAGAAACGTGTGTAGTAAAGAGTACACCATACTATTAAGTTTGTATTATCAATGAAATTCTACAAAAATTGTTTTGTATAAAATCTGTATTGCCCTGGACATTGTCACGGTTTTAAAATGGCTCTCACTGATATCAACAATAAACTGCTGTTTGTTCTCTTAGATCCATTTCTTACTCAACTTATTTATTGAATTATAAAATTTACCTCCAAATCAAGTTACTTGTTATTACAAAAACAGGGTGTTCAAATACTTTTTTCCTGAAAAGTGTTATGGCAGCAAAGTATCCTAAATTTCTATTCCTGTAATCATTTTTAATGTTGACTTTTGCTGTCCCCATGCACTGGCAGACTTGTAACAGCATAATGGGTGTTCGGCAAGGACAGGTTTCAAAAAACATGTCTGGATTTTATTCTCCGTTAATCCTCTTTATAATGGTCTTTGGTTAATAATAATAATACAGCATTTATAAGGCGCCTGTATCTGGTGACCATTCAAAGGCGCCGGTCTGATGAAAGAGCCTCGGTCTCAAGAAGGAAAAGCTAGGACATAAAGGTGGGTTTTTAATCTCTGGGCAAAGAGTGTGGGGTTATGTGTTTCTCTCAGATCTACCGGGAGGGAGTTCCAAAGACGGGGGGCGGCACTTGAAAAGGCCCTGTCACCATAACTGCTCAAATAGACAAATAGAACTGGTATTTGTAATTATAAGCCCTGCCTATGTTCCCTTGGTTGATTTCTTAGTGTGATTGTAAAAGAACATAGTTGGAGCATGGAGAATGGACGAGGGGCAATGTATCTTGAGTGCACCCCAAATACATGTACACAGTTTTTCTGCATCTCTGGGATTCCTTGATACACCCAACAATTGAAGGAGCAGCGTGCGGATGGCGATTGCGAAAAGCTCTATTCCAAAGCAAAGGAGTAACCACCTTGCGTTCGACGACTGTTCTATGATGGTTATTGTGTACCCGACGTCGTTGGTGTCCGGACGCTTTGCGTAGTGAGTGGGGCACGAAGGCATATGGGGCACTTCTAGATGAGACACGCATATACACGGTGGACCACAACTGTCATGGCAAAACCAAACGGTGCCACGGCAAAAGTAAATTGGTGTGTACAGGGAAGGGGCATAATCATTCACGTTTCTTCTAAATGTTTAAGTTCGATGGAGTGGAGTTAGGCCGCCATCATATAAATTTCGTGTTTTGCCGGACTGTTTTCTTTAAATCCTTGTACACGTAGGCCTATATGTAAGGAAATACCAAGGGAAATCGGTCTGTGCAAGCAAAGTTCAAGGAATAATCAGTCGATATTATCCTTTAGCTAAGGGGGGGGGGTTCAGGATCATTCCATCAAGATTGCTGCAGTGCATGAGAGTTTTATGAAGGGGAGGGATGAGATTTGAACAGCATCGCCCCACCCCCACTCTTCTTACCGTATGCTTTTACACAGCTTCACTCGCTTGGGCGGAAATAGGGGGTACGTCCCCCCCCCATGAATTTGGTTTAGGGGACACAATGTCGAATGTCCCCTACATGTTTTAAGCAAACGAAATACTAAAGGAATTGATGGATCAAGGATTTTCCCTTTTGAGTTTTTATAAATGGGATAAGATAATAAACACGGTGTGCACAAAAAAGGGTACTGATGTCCCGGCCACGATCGAGGACAGATTCAAGTTCCGCCCATGTGGACGGGGGACCTGTTCGCTGATGTATTAAATTAGCTTTTATAGTTTTTTTTGCCACCGGTCTGGAGAGAAAGTCAGGTCGATATCAGTTTTAATACACCGGTGCTGATACCTGCGTATGTGCTTGAGCTTCTGTATGTGTGAAATTTTCTTAAATTTAAAAGTACTAAACCTAACTGGAAAGCCAATACTGGTCTTATGCAAGGCCACGACATGGTGGGTGATGGGTAACACTTGTCAACACATAACTTGTCCGCGGGCCCCTGAGGTTAGTGTTTCTTAGAGAGCTGGAGTTTTTAAACTCCGCTTATCTGCAGCTTGGCGACGAAAGGGTTCGTCTGTGTACATTTGCGGTTTTTGTTTCTAATTCACTACGATTCNGGACGACTTGACTTGGCTTGTCTTGACTTGGCAAGTAGCTGTAGAGCTTGCATTAGAAAGGCTTGCAGTAAAAAGAGCTTGAATGGAAGATGTGTTGGGCTAAGTGCAGATCGGATGTTTAGGGTTCAAATGCACAGTCTCTCCTTCTCCTCGACTAAGTAAGGTTTCGGAACTGGTCCAGGCCACCCACTGTCCAGTAACGTATGCGTAGTTCAATAGGCTTACTCTGGTAATGTCTTTGCCTAGAGCAGGACAGGGACGAATTTGTAACTATGTCAGGTTCGATGGGAGGAGAAATCACAGAACAGTCTCTGTTCAGTCCAGTAGTCAAGTGAAGTGGAAGGTCACTGGCTAGGGAAATCCAAATCAAGTTACTTGTTATTACAAAAACAGGGTGTTCAAATACTTTTTCCTGAAAAGTGTTATGGCAGCAAAGTATCCTAAATTTCTATGCCTGTAATCATTTTTAATGTTGACTTTTGCTGTCCCCATGCACTGGCAGACTTGTAACAGCATAATGGGTGTTCGGCAAGGACAGGTTTCAAAAAACATGTCTGGATTTTATTCTCCGTTAATCCTCTTTATAATGGTCTTTGGTTTTCGACAAATAGAACTGGTATTTGTAATTATAAGCCCTGCCTATGTTCCCTTGGTTGATTTCTTAGTGTGATTGTAAAAGAACATAGTTGGAGCATGGAGATGATGGACGAGGGGCAATGTATCTTGAGTGCACCCCAAATACATGTACACAGTTTTTCTGCATCTCTGGGATTCCTTGATACACCCAACAATAAGGAGCAGTGTGCGGATGGCGATTGCGAAAAGCTCAAAGCAAAGGAGTAACCACCTTGCGTTCGACGACTGTTCTATGATGGTTATTGTGTACCCGACGTCGTTGGTGTCCGGACGCTTTGCGTAGTGAGTGGGGCACGAAGGCATATGGGGCACTTCCAGATGAGACGCGCACATGTACGGTGGACCACAACTGTCATGGCAAAACCAAACGGTGCCACGGCAAAAGCAAATTGGTGTGTACAGGGAAGGGGCATAATCATTCACGTTTCTTCTAAATGTTTAAGTTCGATGGTGTGGAGTTATGCCGCCACCATATAAATTTCGTTTTTTGCCAGACTGTTTTCTTTAAATCCTTGTACACGCAGGCCTATATGTATGGAAATAACAAGGGAAATCGGTCTGTGCAAGCAAAGTTCAAGGAATAATCAGTCGATATTATCCTTTAGCTAAGGGGGGGGGTTCAGGATCATTCCATCAAGATTGCTGCAGTGCATGATAGTTTTATAAAGGGGAAGGATGAGATTTGAACAGCATCACCCCACCCCCACTGTTGCTTTTATACAGCTTCACTCGCTTGGGCGGAAATGGGGGGGGGGTAGGGGGCACGTCCCCCCCCCATGAATTTGGTTTAGGGGACACAATGTCGAATGTCCCCTACATGTTTTAAGCAAACGAAATACTAAAGGAATTGATGGATCAAGGATTTTCCCTTTTGAGTTTTTATAAATGGGATAAGATAATAAACACGGTGTGCACAAAAATGGGTACTGATGTCCCGGCCACAATCGAGGACAGATTCAAGTTCCGCCCATGTGGACGGGGGACCTGTTCGCTGATGTATTAAAGTAGCTTTTATAGTTTTTTTTGCCACCGGTCTGGAGAGAAAGTCAGGTCGATATCAGTTTTAATACACCGGTGCTGATACCTGCGAATGTGCTTGAGCTTCTGTATGTGTGAAATTTTCTTAAATTTAAAAGTACTAAACCTAACTGGAAAGCCAATACTGGTCTTATGCAAGGCCACGACATGGTGGGTGATGGGTAACACTTGTCAACACATAACTTGTCCGCGGGCCCCTTAGGTTAGTGTTTCATTAGAGAGCTGGAGTTTTTAAACTCCGCGTATCTGCAGCTTGGCGACGAAAGGGTTCGTCTGTGTACATTTGCGGTTTTTGTTTCTAATTCACTACGATTGNTGGCATGACTTGCCACTCTAATACACATTATGATATGTGGCAAGCAAGGTGCTGTTTTCACCGCCACTTCGTGCACATATAGCAGTAGTCCATAATCAAATCGCCCTTTTAGGTGGTCCATGCATTAGGGGCGGACCCAGAAATTTTCCCGAGAGAGGGCGTGCCTCCCATCAAGGACACACGGTTACATTGTCACGTGCTTGCAGGATGCCATCCTTGATACTAAACCATTTCCCTGTTTTGTGTGTCCGAGCATGTAGGCCAGGATTGACATCCATTCCCACCGGATCGAACAGCCTTGGTGTTTGCTTTTGTTTTGGCGCTTTTGCTTTTACCGTGGAGCTTTTGCTTTTGCCATGACAGTTGTGGGCTACCGTACATATGCACGTGTCTAGCACATGTACTTAGTCAACTAGTCAACAACAGGTCAAGTTGTGTTTTGAAAGCAAAATGACAAGCAAGAGAACAGACGAAAATTGTGTAGAACCAGCCAAATCAGGGAAGAAGAAGAGGAAGACCGAGCCCTCCGGTTTTGTTCCGAATGAAGTCAACCCTGCCTACGGCGAGGGGAATTTCAAACAGTTACTTGGAGAGGCATTTAGAAACCAGGAATCGTTTGAACACGGTGAACTGTCGTTTCTAAGTTCTAGACTAGAGTTCAGCTGTGTATACGCCACGGTATTCGGCCGCGGAATGACCGTGACTATGCCGTGACGAAGCCCGATCATTCCTGTGCTGTGCTCCCTGTATGTGAAATTATTTCCAGAACGCGGGTCACAGTGCACCACCCCACCCCGCCCTACCCCACCCTGATTGTTCCGTGCTTCTGGGGGGAACCCTTCTGGGCATATGCATATTCTTATTGGTCTGCACGTCACGTATTTTCCCATACCTTTCTTGACAGAGAGTGGAGCAACATTACTTCGGTATCCCTTCAGCTGTTGTATACTGCCCAACTTTGTGAAGGACGATTCCCACTTGAAGGGCTTGAAAGATGAACTTTTGGACTTGCCCTTTGAGGAAAAGTCCAATGATCTCTACAAATTTCAGCAGGTTGTATGAAATCTGTTCAGGGCTCGATTTACAAAAAAAGTGGCATGCACTGGTGTGTGTAGACCAAAAACCTACATGCACCATAATTTTGCAAATACCGGTAGGCCTAGTGCATATTCCTGTAGGCCCATATAGCAATTTAAGAATTATAAGCCAAAGATAAGTTGAGGTGTGTACATGTATTATGAATCTGCTGCAAGGAATGGGAGAAAGAAATAACACGTTCGGACACTATCTGGCCAAGAATTCAACAAACTTTGTTCTTATTTTCACTTATTGGTAAATATATGCAGGAAATGAGTGTTTTTTGGTGGTTAAAAAGTTACATGCACATCGTGCATGCTCAGTAAAAAAGCTGCATGCACAAGCAAAACTCTAGATGCACTGGTGCATGCGTGCATCAGGTAAATCGAGCCCTGAATCTGTTCCCAGATATTAAACCTCTGAATGTAGAGACGGCTTATAAAAGTACTTATCAAAAAGATGTCGAAAAAAGTGACAGTTACAAAAATTCATTGTAAAAGGAAATAAAGGGACAATTCTGTAAAAAAGTACATTTAGAAATCTGGTCATGCTGTTACTAATGTCATTATTATTGGTTATTCTTATAAAGAGATTTTTTTGAGAAACACTAGCAGTAGATATTGGTACCATTACCTGTAATAATTCCTCTTTCATTTTTTCCTACAACATTTTTCATGAATTATGATATGATGTTGGTAACTGTGAGACCAAATTCCCACCTTTACATGAAAGTGCCTAAAAGCAAACAGCTCCTAGTGTGGGAAAGAGGATGACAAACATAAATTTGTGAAATATTTATATTTTCTTGCAGTCTGGTGCACTTCAGAATGTCTCCTCCCCACATATAATCGGGTTGAGGTTAGTAGTTCAGTTAAATTGTAAATTTAAATTGTAAATTTTGTTATTTCCGTTAAATTATAAACCACCGCACTCTTTAACACTCTGGAAAACCAAGTTCAAGACTTGCCTGAATTATCTTGCTCAAGATGTTAACAAACTCTTCAGAACCTAAGTAATTATCGTCTGTAAGTCCTGGTTACCTCTTCAGAAGTCTTCACAGATCTTCGGTTTGGTGAATTCAGGGCAAGCACTTTGACAGGTCTCTACACTCTATGTAGGGTCTCTGTTTGGATCTTCAGGTTGTTGCAGTGAAAATGTTGCGCAGTCTAAAAAAACCTTAACTGGAAGAAGTGTGAATGATTTTGTAGGGTTTTCCATGCAGATTTCCATTTTGAGTTGACATTTGGGCTAGGAGCCTAACCCAGATTATTTTGAGTGGCACAAACCCTGGATTGGCCGTGTTTTTGGTAGATTTGGGACTATCCATCCCAGATTGAAACCCCACCCGACCTCCGCAAAGAAGATACTGGTTGATGGAAATTATTTCATTTAGGCACCCAGCATACATACACGGAGACCGTACATTCCAACATAAATCTGTTGCATGTGTTCAGGATGCCAAATGTGCATAAAACGGTACAGAGTGAGTTCCCACCAAAGGACCACAGTTTTTGTGTAAAAGCATGCTATCCTAATGTACATTTACATGGAGCGGATAGGGTCTCCATCATCCTTACATTACATTGGACTTGATATTTAAATTCCCTTCAAGTGCCAAGAATTTCCCTTTGGTTTACTGCAGAGTTGCAGGATTTTGGTACAATCGGTATTCGGAAACGTTAATAATCTCCAGTGGGGTACACAACATGAATCCAAAGAGATGGGCACTATGCTGAATTGTGAATATTTTCAACTCCCCTGAACCATAAACAACTGCCGCTGTTATATATGGGGAACATAATTCAAAGCCTACTGCGCCTACATATAACATGTACAATGTGTGTTTGTGACTAGCAACCAGCTTTCCATAGGTGCATATGTAACTCCTAGCTGCTGCCAGCTAATTAGAACAAGATCTCTTTCTCTTTTTTTTTTGCATCAGAAATTTTCTGTATGAAAACTTTTTGGCCTGGCTGAGGAAAGTCACTGGTATACCCCTAGATGACACTGTGGATATGACCTGCTCGAAGTACAACTACACAGGTAGCTTGACCCTAACTAAAGTATATCTGCTTAGCAGTAATTAGCAAGAGACCGGTCCCAGGCAATATATACCATATGACATTCTGGGGGTGACCGGTGTTCACAAAGCAGATAAGTCCATAGATAAGCAAACATCTGTTCTCAGAAGCTGTGCGGATGTGACATTGTACCCTGGTTTTGTAGTATTGTGATGGATTTGGGACTGAAGGACCTTACCGCTGTTGCGTTACGTGAGGTTGCAGCACCTTTATGGATTTTTTGGCAGTTCCTATATGTTTATGTGAAAGAAATCCTCAGGAAGCTAAGGTCAAAGGTGACCAAGGTTCAGTTTTGCATAAAGTTAGTGCACGATACCCACTCTGTTATGCCTCATTCCATTTTATAAAACTTGTCTTTAATCATGGGACATTGATGAAGCCACAATTAAAACTGAGAAGATTCTTGTCATCACTTCTGTACTGTTTGTCCTTAGATAGCTTGCTCTGTCATGATGATGAACTAGGAGGTAGGAGGATCGCCTTCATTCTGTACCTGGTCCCACCATGGGAGGAGAAAGACGGTGGAGCCCTTGACCTCTTCAAGGTCGATGGTGAGAGATCTCTGTCATATAGTTAGCGCTGCCCCCCCCCCCAGGGAAACATTCTGACCAGGGTTTCACCACATCTATTTAGAATGCTTCTTGATAACCGATCATTAAATTTTGGCTCTGTGCATTGGCAGTTGGAATGCCAGTCACCTTTTGGGTTTTTTTTCTTTTAACTGCAGTAGCTAAATGTGTTTTAAGATGTTTGTGGTGAATAAAAATGTTTCATTATCCACCATGAGGTTTTGGAGGAGTTTGCAGAATTCACAAAGCGATCAGTCTCTTGAGAAGTAAAGTACAAAGTGCATGTCATTGGTTTCTTTCAGAATTCAAAAATAAGAAATATCCAGACAGTTACTGCTGTCGATGGGATATGATTTTTTTAACACCCAAGGACTCACAGCACCCAAGACGAATCCAAAGATGTTATGCCTCTCCGGAGGGTATCAGAAACAACCTATCCTGCATTGCAGCAGTCAATAGTGGTTTTTTTTTAGTTTTTACTTCTATCTGTCTGGGTGCTTCATTTTAGTTTTTGGGTCATGTGACTTGCTCTAAAGCAGTATCTATACATCCTAAAATGTACACATTTATAAAAAGAAACAAACATCGGATGTATGGATTCGATGTAGAAAATTGACAAATCTGCTGTTAACAATAAAGTAAAGTGCTTTGCCAAGAGTTGATCATATCCCAATTCATTGCTCCCACTATAGTTTCCTTTTATCAAATGTATGGGTGAGAGTAGCTCAGGTACCAGTGAACACAAGTAGTCTGGTCATTAGTCCCAGCATTATGGTTTGGGTTGTGGGGCAGGGACCAGTCCATTACATCACAATTCTGGGCCAGTTCAAGTGACGACTATAGTTAACTATCTTAAGGAAACCATTCGCATGAAAATAATTGTACAAGATTTCAATGACCGTGTATGCTGCGAGAATCGCAGCCAACAATGAAATGTGAGTAACAGTGAGATTTTAGAAAATAGGCTGACTAGGGTTATTCGAGGGTAACTGAACTGTTGAAACTGTTGAAAAGCAGTTGACTTTTGGTCGATCTATAGTTCACGCACGAACTTGCCTGTGACATGCACAAGGATGAGGGTAATATTCTTTTTTATTGACCAGGCATGTGATTATTCTGGGCCAGTGAAAACACAGTGTTCAAGACATAAGCATTAGGTTATTACATTGTTAAAGCAAAAACTGTACAAGGCTGTGCTCAAGCCCAGGGGTGGATTGGTTCATAACCACTCACGTCGCTTGTCGATGAAATTTTGTTTCCTCAACAGAGCACGGCCAGCCCAGCCAGGTAGTGAAATCCCTGCTTCCAAAATGGAACAACTTTGTGTTCTTTGAGGTCACTCCAGTGTCATTTCACCAGGTGGGTGGACAGGTCCTGCAGGGATTGGTCAGTTTGTGGCCAAGCCGCTATTTTGACCACTCCCATGTCCCTTGTTACAGGGCCGACACAAGTCAACAGTTAACCCTAATCCTGTGAGATGTTGCGCAGTCCAGGTGAAAAAGTCTGATGCACTTTGATGCACTTGGCAATCAACAACAGCTGAACAAACTGGTCATGTTGAGACAAAGGGAGCTCGTCTCATTGAACAATGCCACTGTTGGATCTTGTGGTGACTGGCAACCGCAGAGTCCCAGGCTGCTTGGCCTTGGGAGAGTTGACCTGTTAGATCTTGTTACACTGGGCAGTTAAGCCGCTTTGACAATGATGCAGTTTGATGTGTCTGGTAGGGTTTCTAGCCAAAGCAGGCTGGGGGTTAGGGTCAAGGGAATTTGTTGTAAGTGTTACACATTTTTAGGATTTTGAGCGCATGGAAGCTGGAAAAATGGGACTTTTTGTTGACATTTCTAGTGATCCAGCGTTAGTTCTTTACCAGCCCAGTGTCTGGGAACAATATCAGTAGCAAGGGAAAAGATACAAGAGGTCTTGCAAATTCACCCTTCTGTGATAGCTAGCTATGTACATGTACATGTGAATGAGCTAAATGTTTGAGTATGTCTTGATTTCCAGGTTGCAGAGGTGCTGGCCCAAGACAAATGCCGTTTGTCGGTCAGTGGGTGGTTCCATGGACCTCCTGTGGATAGGCCAGCACCGTACGTGGAACCCAGATTGGCGCTTCAGTCACACTGTACTCTACAGGTACTCAAAAAGGATATCATTATTGTAGATTTGATTCAGCACCGGGTGGTTGCCCAGGCAAGTTTAGGCAACCTACTGTTAAAAATCTTCATGCCAACTGTCAGTCCTTGCTCCCTGGTAGCTTTTTATGCGCAAGACCACTGATAACTGCTGATGTGACTAACCTCAGTGAGCTGATTGCAAACACTTGATTAGTCCAACTGTCATGGAGTGGCGTGTCCTTGCTCAGAGCTGCTCAAACTGTGGCCGGCTGAAGTCCATGATTAATTAAACTTGACCAGTGCTGTTGACAAATCTTTTGGGACCATTTCTTTTCTACACCGATCTCTTGGGATGCACCAGTTTGCACATATTGCATGTAAAATTGATCATATGCACCCTTCACCATTCAAATATATACTTTTGCATGTAAGATCTGATTAGGCCACCCAGGGCCAAGTATGGTTTTCCAAACACTTTTATAAATCAACCTTTTGTCACTGTCATGTAAAAGCCTCAAGTGAGATAGTTGTCAGCATAAAACTGACATTAGAACAATCCTCTGTATAGGAAGACGAGATCTTCGAGTGGATCAGCCCCCTATACCTAGACCCCCTGAGCCAGTCAGAAATCCAGGACCGTTTCAGCGACGACTCGGAAATTCAGCTGGAGAACTTTCTGCAGGTGTGCCCGTAGCTTTTGAACTTGTCTTGGTGTCCTTGAGATGACCACAGACACCCTAAAATTGTGGTTTTGTTTTTAATTTTGGCGAGGAGCTCCACAAATGTCAACAAAGTGTAGTATCTCTGTGTCGTTAATTTTTGTACACAGAAGGACAAATATGAACTTGTTAGCAAGGCTGTAGCAAGCAGCGACATCAGGTGGCAAAGGATAGGACCGGCAAATAAAAGGTATTCAGATTTGTGTTTTTCATTGTCTTGGTTTACTGTTAGTGTGTCTTTTTTGAGTAGTTATTGTTATTCTATTATTCACCAAATCCAACTGTGTCTAACATTCAAGTTTAAGAAAGCAACTGTTTGGAGACCTTTAAGTCCACATGGCTACCGGATAGAACTGGGGAAACAGACCAAAGCTCCAGTGTGTTGGATTTGCTGCGTGACAGTTGAGGGCGCTGTGTCACCTACAAGGCAATGGGGGCACATGGGCCTTTTGTCCAAATCTTGGCTTTCATCTCCGTCTTCACCCTCATCTCAAGCTCCAACATATAATAGTCGGTTTTTCTGACATTTACCGTTACAGCCACGTGAAAGTTTTCTGTCGCTTGGCATCACATTAAGTAATCTGATGTTTCTCTTGCCTATTAATGGAGCAGCCATGAGCTTGAAGAGGTTGCAACTCTGAAATCTTTAAACTGGGGTCCAAGACGGCCAAAGTTGAACTTTGGAGAACCCCTGCTGTGTAGGCCCATTGTTTCCAAAGTTGCTGCCATGTACAAGTGGTACAGCTCTCAACTCCGCAGGAAAGAACTCCAGTCGAGTTCCATTATCCTGTACATTTTTAGCAAGTTCCTGTTGAATGCATTGGAAAATTCTGTATTGATTCTGTCAGAACATAGTGGGAATTCTTAGGAAACAAGGTATCCCAGTGCAGTGGGACAGAAAGGAATGAGGAGGACATTCTCAGCTCGATGTGCGTAAGCCTGTGATGTTCACATTAAGAAGCACTGAAGCATGAACCCCTGATGGAAACAATGTTGAAGTGGAGCTCAGGGGTAGTGTTTCAGTTTTCGAAGTCAGTGGCCAGAAACCATACTGGGAGCAAATGCATTCTTGTTGCAGGAACTACGAAAGAGCTGACGTGTCTACGCTGCCACAGATCTTGCTGGATTGTCTCAACGTGCTCCGGTCCGAGCACATGTTCCTAACCCTGTCCAACTTCACCGGTCTGAAATTGCACGAACACGCCCCGAACAATGACAGCGATGATGACAGCGACGATGACAGGGACGAGAGAGAGGAAAGTTCGGAGGAGGAGGCAGATAAGGAAAGCAGAGATGAGGATGCTACTAGAAATGCCAATGTAGCAGATGGAACTGAAGCAGAAGAGGGCATTGTTATAGGTAACTAGTTAGATGGATCCTCAGGAATGAAAGGTCACCCATTTGTAACATGCATTGGACAAAACCATTCAGTTGAGATTAGTCACTCTCACACTCTCATGGGCATTGCATCGGGGATTGCCCCCCCCCCCCGGAGAAATGGGAAAATATGAATGAAGTGAAGCGGTGCGTGTGCGTCGGTTTGGGGTTCGTGGGTCCTGAGCCCACGTTGGTTGAGGTGCTATCCTCTGGTAAGGGCGGCTAGTCAATCACACACTTGATGATACTCCATCTTGGGTTTATTGATTTCCAGCAAACCCAAATTTCCCAGGTGTAACAAAATGCTGTATAGAACTGACTTGTATCACCTAGTCATTATCTGTGATTAATGTAATCATATATGACTCAAATTATAAAGAAAATCTCACGGTCCAATAATGTGGACACACATCAAACTCGCCCAGCACTTAATTACTTGATATGCTGCATGCACTCAGGACTGTTCTGCAATATGACATTAAATTCTAGCATGAATAAATCTAACAATAATGACAGCGCCAAAAGAGTGTTTGTCTGCAGAGTAAACCCATAATCCCAATGTGCAACATACTTTGTGCAGTTGTGTCGCCCATTACTTGACAGCTTGGAAAGATTACAAAGCACGTACAAACCGCAAGCCCTGGGTCAGGGGTCACAGCGGAAAAGTACAACGTACAACAGTTCATCCATGGCGCGTACACGCACCGGTCTACCCATGCAGTCTACATGCATGCACATTGAAACGACACAGGAAACGCGTGAGAAAAGGTTACGTAACTGAAGTCACGGGCAAGACGTAAAATGTTCCCAATTTTCACATAAAATAAATCTATCACATTCATGAAAAGATCACCAAAATACCCAGTGTTCCCTTACAAATAGCAGATACATGTATTTACCAATTGGCCAAATTGGCTACCGAAACGCTGAAAAACCATGTACTCAAGCCTCGAGCTTGTCTCCCTTTTCCGTCGGCATGGTTGGGTCAAGACGACAGTAAAGTGGGTGGAGTGCCCAGAGACTACTCATCCATATTCATGAGGTCCCTACGTGAATGAGAAGAGGGCATTTAAAATTTTGCACTCTTACAAGTGTAGTGGAAATGACCCCGTCTGCTGACGGTGGTTTGTGAGTCTGTTACTACTGATTACTTTGCCTTCCCTTGAAAAGACCTCTGTTCCCTTCCTGGCATTGCCCATCATCTCCTTGAGTCTCGGCCAGACACAAATGTATTTTATGTTTGGTGTTGACATTTTTCCCTGCCAGGAAATTGTGGTTTCTCCTTTAAAAAAATACCAGTTTCACCTGTATGTGTTTCGCCATCGGTGACATTGGAGAACGAACATTCAAGATGGATCTTCTGACCATGGATGTGGTGTAATGACATTTGAAGTCACAAGCTTGGTCATAATGGAAGTGGAAGTTGAAGTTGTAATGGGGCTTGCTCGGTGGTTTGTTTTGTTTTCCTCCATCTAGTCAGCAAGCCCACACCGTATAATCCACGGTGCCGAGCTGAAGTCAGACGATGGAGTCACGGCTGCTACACCCTCCTGCACGACACCGACACGGAAGGGTCAGAGTTTGCTTTGGACGCGGTCATCCACTTTGGCTGCCCCCCAGGTAAGGGCTCTGTGCATTAACAAAAGAGGGCGCTTTGCATAAACTTGGTCCTTTCACCACCTCGTTATTACCCTTATCAGTGAGATTTTATATCCCGTCAGTTTCCAAGATTTTACTTTTTTTTTCAGATTGGCAGACGCATCATGGAGGTTACATTTCCTACATAGCAAAGGCAGAAGATGAAGAGGTATACGATTAATGATTTGAGTTCAAATTCATGTCCAGGGTTAGTTGGAAAATGTGTGCAGTGGTGTACAATTCCTTTAATCCTACAAGCGGTGTTTGGTTTTAGACATGGCTGTAGATTTTAAATTAAGTTAGTGATTGTAACTGTCATTGAATGTGGTCTAATAGCAAAAAATTAAATATTTTTTTACCTATTAACAAATTTTGACTCAGAAGAAATGAAGGCAGTGCTTTCAGGGCTAATGCGCAGTCATCTGCTTAGTTTAATGAGACTCGTGAAAATGATTTGCAGTATTCATCTCCTGAGTGTTGAAACTGGTTCTGTGTTGATTGCTCCTTGAAAATGAATTGAACATTTTAACTACAGATGCCTTTTTAGCAAACTTTCTTGTCTTTCATTCAGCTCCTCAGTGTTAGCCCTGAAAGTAATGGCCTGTCGCTGGTGTATCGGGACAAGGAAACGTTGAAATTCGTCAAGCATCTCAACCACAGGTTCACCGAGTGCAGCAGCGAAGGTGACGGGGAACCAGCTATTTATGACATACAGCTTGTGTATTATGAATAGCAAACTGTCGTGAGGATCAGAGCAGAGCTTGAGGTCGCGGCTGCTGTTTCTGTCTTGCGCGGTGCACGGTCTCACTCTGTGATGTGCATCAGCAAACTGATAGCCCACACATGGTGACACCGGCAGCATAGAATAGCACAAGACATGCATACTGCCTTCCTTACAAGAGCCACAGAGATGGTCAGTGTGTTTGCATGACCAGTTTTCATCGCTATGAGTACAAACCCGCAGTGCATTTATGTGGATACCAGGTAAACAGATGCAGTGATGTTAATTATCGCTGTGTTATTATCAAGTGGGTACATATACGAGGTCTGTAGGAAGCCCAATGTCAGCTGATAAGAACATCCATTCTCCCAAGGGGCAACATTGCATTGGTTACTGTGTCTTAAGCCATGGCCGAATTGAGTGTTGAAAGGCTGAGGCTTTGGAGTTTGCCCATGATGTGCCATGGGGACTAGCTGTTAAGCCATGGGCAGCAATGCTAGTCATGGTTGTGGCTTTACTATGCAGTAGGTCCTCCGGACCGTAGAATCATTCGGTCCCACAGACAAGCAAGCCAGGAACCAGACGAGACTGATGGTTCGGGATGTCCTTGCTTTGCGTTTCATGAACTGGAAACTTGTCAGGAAAAAAGATGCCAAAAGTTGAAAGTGTCTGTGAACGACAATACTGTGCCCAAATTACCTCTTTGTAAGGGGGATAAAATCATTCTTGCTGAGTTACAACCTATAAAACATTCAAGTCTGATCTCAGTGACCTTTATGAAATACGATATTAACCACATGCTGCCGGGTGGTTTGAAAAATGCAGTGCACACATACAGGCAAATTTCAAGATTTTCAGTTTTCAAACATCTTCAAAAATTCATCATTACAATTAATGCTTCCAATTTTTTTAAACAAAGGACTATTTTGAAAAAGCTTATGAAGAGTTCAAAATAGTAAAGTTTCATTTGTCATATGCATAGCGCATCCCCGCGTGTGGCTTGAGGCATCGCAGATTGCACGAAACTGCACTTGGATGAAATGCTTTAATCTGACCGCCGTAATGAATGAAACTTGGCATGTCTTGCACATAGAGGACTGCTCCATACATGTACTTCATCCAAAGGTGAAAGCAAAAGTAGAGCCAATCCCATGTTGTCACCGGTTCCAATTCACATAACAGATGAACCGTGCCTGACTCATGGACCATCTTTTTGTTAACAATATCTTAAAGTTCATTTAGCCCGCAACTTAAAAATACATTGTATATGACAGTTTGTTGAATGTACATGTAAAGAGGGTGCTTCCCTTTCAGTGACCTAATAACAAGAACTGAAACTTCTGCCATGCGTTGGTATTTTCATTGCATTATATTTCTTTTATTCATTGGGCAGCCGATAAAAATCTGCATAAATAGGTTCATTTGGTTAACTATTACATTTGATGTCTTTTATAGAAATTTTATGCACTACGTTGTATATTTAACTAACCAGCCATGTGTGACCTCGCATGCATTTTCAACACTTGGCAAAGATACCGATTACATCAGTACTAGGTATTGGATGATAGAAACATAATTATTAGCATTTATAGTTTGAATAAAAAATGAGCTTAATCTGAATTTAACTTCTTAACTGGAAGAGGTCATGTAACGTACAGGGTAATGGGGAAAATAAAAACTAGCTGCATTTTAAAGCTATCCCATAAAGGGCAAGTCTGTTCTGAGCCATTGGACTCATCAGGCCAGTGTTTATCTCTGGTTTCCTTGGCTTGAAACAAATGAGAATATGCCTATTTCCCCCCCCCCCCGGACTGGTTGCCAATCCATCACAGGCTGCTCTCCACCTAATGCTGGTACCCATCTCTATTCCTTGGTAGAGAGAGGCTTACCCCAAGAACACAACTTGTGGCCAGCAGCTGGATTTGATCCCCTGACTCTCTGATCAGGAGTCGCAAACCTTGGCCAGCGGCCCCGTAATGTGGCCAATGGCCAAATGGTATTCACTGTACCTTCATTCACATGTTCGAACGGTATATAAGTCTTTCAGAAAGGGTCTTTTTTGAAAATCAACCTGAAATCACACAGTTGGCAACATTTCTCCAGTGAAATGAAAATTTCAGATATTTTTAATACAAGAAATTTTTTTAACTAATACATAAAATATAGCTTGTCCCCTTTAATTGTAAATTATTGAATGTCAACACAAATGTATTTAAGAACAAAAGCGTTCTTAATCAAGTTTGTCATGTGACATCCAGATTTTTTTCCAGCTAATGGCCCAGTACAGCCTACATTAATGTTTTCACTCTTAATAGTTACAAAAAATCTCTCTAAATGAAACTTGGCTCTAACAAGAAATTTCAGCTTTAAAGCAGATTATCTATGGAATGTCTACAAATGAGGGACCTATTGTAAAAGCTTTGAAATTCATTTTAAAAAAATCACATGCGCTTCGTATTCCAAACAACTTCTTTTGATTTTTGAGTCCAAAGCAGAGGGCACGGCACAAATATTTGGCTGAAAGTTTTGATAAACATGTAAATTGCAAATCAGTTACTACATGTACTTTGTGAACAGCCACTTTCTTACATTCTGTCTCATAAGTAAATATGACTCTTCTCATTTTTGTATATCTTTAATCCCAAACTGCATTGTTTAAATTTTTTTTGCCTTTTTTGCTGCTTTGTACAGAAAAGAATGACTATATGTATGACTATAAATGAACTCACTATGACTATAAATGAACTCACTGAGCTGAATGTCAGCCAGAAGATGGTTGAACTGAAGAAAACCTAATCAAGGCACTTGCAAAATATGTACATCACAAAAGGACACAGATTCCATTGCTGCACTTGACACTTTGCCCATTGAACAGAGAAAAGGTACTTAATTATACTGCTGAAACTTATTTAGCCAGCCTACCTCTGGCAGGTTGTGATTGAAAGTGGATTTGATCCATAGATGGTTACATTCCTAAACTTACAAATATCATGAATGGGATTACTGGGCATTGTTAAGGATGATCTCCTTATGACTATAAATGAACTCACTGAGCTGAATGTCAGCCAGAAGATGGTTGAACTGAAGAAAACCTAATCAAGGCACTTGATTAGGTTTTCTTCAGTTCAACCATCTTCTGGCTGACATTCAGCTCAGTGAGTTCATTTATAGTCATAGTGAGTTCATCCTTAACAATGCAGGTGTTGATGCAGGTGTTGGAAGCAACGAACAGGAGATGCTCAGATTTTACGTGCCTTTTCATGGGGATAGAGAAGTGGTACATGTACACTGTTAGTCAAGTTTTCTATTCTGGGTGTAGTGTCAAGTACAACAAGCCCTTTTTGATTCAGATGACCACTGCTTCATCATTGGTTCTTCTGTAACAGGTACATGTTCACGTAAGAATTCAGTGCAGGGTACCAAGAAAAAGGTGGGATTTGTGACGTTTTTACATCTTCACTCAACAAAAACTATCCCAATTTATCAAGGCATTCAGTGCATTCTACCACAGAATGTCCGAAAACCTTGTTACTCACCAATTGAGTTTTCATTATTTGCCTTCGCCGGCTATACCAACACCTACCAGAATTTGGACAATAATGTTCCAGAACACAGACATGAACAGGTACAAGGTACAAAGCATTACAGAATATTAAAAATAGCTTTGAAATGGCACCATTAATCACATATTTCATAAAGGATTACAGAATATTAAAAATAGCTTTGAAATGGCACAGTTAATGTACAGGGTACACATCACATTCAACAGTTCTATTGACTGCATTTTTATCACACGACGTCTATCAAATTTTCAGAATATTTTCATGAAGGTTTAAGCTACTGCTCTGCGTGGCTTCTGATTGTGTAAACTCCAGTCTGTAGCTAAAGACAATGAAACTGGACATAACTATTGTTGCAAATCACACAACTGTTATAGAAGTTGTAGACCCTGAGAAACGACACTTTTTACCTGACCTGTTTAAGGAATAGACTCAACTCTTTGCTGCCATGGTTGAATTTCTTGTTTTATACGGGTAGTTCAGGTCACCAAGTCTGGTTACAAGTAAATTATGAGTCAATGAGTGCAAACGTACATGGAGGGAGGGGCAAACGGGGATTCTTCCTTCCACTGGAAAAAAATTCAAAAATGCAAAAGGACAAAAGTGTAACAATTGCAACAAAGATGAAAACTCATCAATTTGTGAAAAAAACTCTAAAAATTGGTCCCCTCCCGTCTTGATCATTTTCTTGTTGATGGCCACTTTGCTTCCCCCCAAAAAAGTTTGCCACTCCCCCGGAAAAATCCTGGTGACACCTATGTGCCTGCACATACTCATTCCCTTGTACCAAGAATAGAGAACCTAAGCCTGACATCATTTGAACCAGGAAGTGTAGTGCAAACAAATGGAGTACATATACATGCAGTGTGTCAGTTCAACCGGTGGTTCTCGCACTGATGCCTTTCACACACATAATTGTGCACCTGACATACATTGTTTTCACTTTAGCAACATGTACACTCTTAGAGCAGTGACATGTATTCCAAGGGCAAGGTTAACAGGGAGTAATTCAAAAATCGTGAAGATTTCTAAATGGTTTTCAAAAGCAAGCTTTGCCTTGCTGATCTTCATCAAAATTTCAAGTCTGGTGACAGAAATCTAAATTGCTGAAACAACACTACGTTAATTACTAAAAGGCACAATGTTAAAGGGAGGAGCCAGTTGTGATACCATCAGGCATCAGCCATTAATAGGCTGATCCATGAAGCCTGCAAAAAGTGGGGAACCATACCCCTCCAGTCAAATCAGTGGGGGTGAGGGTGGGGGGCACTGGCCCCCTTCCACCACCCGTTTGAAATTCAAACGGAAATCACAGTCAATGGAATTACAATTTAACTGAAAAATTAACAGCATTAATTCTTTGGATGTGATGTCTGATACAGTGCACAGGCCTACTAAAGCTTAAATATGCATAACATCATGAAGGTGGAAGCAATTTATGAATTGTTGAATTATGAATGCGAAAAACACAATTTATCCAACAGCCTCTAATAATGCGAGGATGACATAGCCAATGACAGCGAAGGCTATTTTCTGCGGCCGATTTCTATGCACCTCAAACTCGTGGTTCAGGATCTCAAAAAACGTGACAAAGATGAAGATGCCGGCGGCGACAGCCTGCATGATTGCCGAGCAGATGATAGCTCCAAAGCCGCGGGAAGCCCGGATCCAGAGGCCGAGTGCGATACCGGATGGAATCATCCCGGCAAAGACGACCCCGTAGATGACAAACGCGTAGGTGTTGACTGAATTCTTGATGAGGCTGGCACCCAGGGCGAAGGCAGCCAGGCTCTCGTGGGCTAGCATCGCAATTAGAAGATACAGAATGCGTTTGACATTCTCCTGGAGTCCCAGGGCCATGCCCTCGAAGACAGAGTGCGTCGACAGTGCGAAGAGGAGGATGAGCGACCGCAGCAACCCGGAGTTGTTGATGTTACTAAGGTGACTGTGTCCATGGGAATGGTCGCCGGGCTCAACATCGCCATCGCCTGTTTCATTGGTTTGTGCAGCATTGACCCTTCGGTGACCCCCATTTCTCGCCTCTGCATCCCCCCTTGATGACCCAAGCATGGGCCGCCTGTCCGAGTCTCTATCGAACAGATCTTCGTCTTCTTCACTGTCCTCAAGATCAGTTGTGTCAGCTTTGACCTTTCCGTCCTGGGCGCTGAACTTTATGCTGACTTTTTTCATCTGGATCTCACTGACCTTGTTCCTGCTGTTCCATTGCTGCTGCAGGGACAATGCCAGTTGCTCCAAAGTCAGGATTAGGAAAAATCCCAGCACCACGGCCGCCTCGCAGAATGGATAGTCCACGTTGATCTTCTTCTCCTGAAAAATCTGATGGAATTTCTCCCTGGCGGCAGGGATCAGGCCAAGAAAGCAGGTGGCCAGGAACACGCCGCCTGCCAGGCAGTTGCAGTAGCTCAAGATCTTCTCCGAGCGCTGGCGTCGTTTGATAGACTGCGTTGCCTTTCTCCCGATCACCTTCAATGGCAGGAGTGCTCCAGCCAGCGTAATGAGGAACACGGTGACCATGCTCAGAAGTTGCAAGATCAAGATGGTCATGCTCAGGCTATAGGGACTCCCTGGGGCTTCCGTGACTAACTTGTCAGTCAGGGTACTCTTAGTGCCATTTCCATCCATGGCCGAAATATTTCAATGACGGTTTCAACTTGCAAAGATTTTTCACTTAGCACAAGAGTACAGCGCATCTAGTCCAATTACAACTTAAACGACATTTGACGTTAATGTTTAATACAGACCCTCATCATTTGCTACATTTTAACTTTCAACACCAATACTGACATCACTAGCTGCAGCTGCACTTTTCCTTTTGGAGATGGTCTATGCCAGATCCATCCACCTGCTGATTGCAAGTTGTATTCAACTGTTAGTACTGTCCAAACTGAAACAAAAAGAAACGAGATTATTCAAATTATTGAGGAGTATGCTTCCCGAAATACTTGGTCAAAACTCGACCTGCTGGTATGATGTAACAAATACTATTTAAAAATACATGCACAAGGATCGTGAAAACTGATAGCAATTTACATACATGGAAAAAGAGTAATTTCAAGTTCCTGTAAATTACAGTGTTGCTTTTAGTGACTTCTGTCTATCATTCTGCCTTATTTCTGAGTTTCAATTCCAATCTTGCCATTAATAAACTCCCCTCTTTCAGTTTTGACACGTTGAATGTATCATGTTCACAATTAGAGCTGCCCCTAGAACTATGGGGTCCGGCTCACCAAATCCATCATGCTCCCATCAATGCCGAGTGGAACGTGCGATGAACCTGATGAAAAGCAGTTCTAGGGGTAGTTTATGGTTAAATTTCAGCATGGACCACAGCTGAGATTACCCCAAGAACTGTGGGATCCAACGTCTGCTCCTTTCCCACGAGGAGCGGACGTTGGACCCCACAGTTCTGGGGGTAGGTTGAGATGTACTGGACTATGTAGGCCTACACTTCTAGGACAAAGGACAATACACCGGCATTTATATGATGACTGGTGCCTTTTTCGGTAAGTCGGCTTAAGGCTAGTTTGTTTCATGTGGATCGGGATTGCGATCAATGATCCGGGGTTGATTCACTGACACCAGAGCCTGCCTATGGATAGCACGAACCAGCTCCGGAATCACTAATCAAGATCAAGATCCATGTGAAACAACAGGCCCCAACCCCAAGTCATGCTAGTTGAACCATGGAGGTCGACTAGTTGAAATACAAATTATGATCTGGTAGGTTATGTGGAAAATATGTTGCATCCTGACTCCACATTTCTCATCATAGGGATATCATCTCAATGAAGGTCTGTCATTACAGAAATGCTGGAAAGACACGAATTCTGGACTGAGAAACATTTACCGATGATGTTGGGAAATACTTAGAAAAATCTCTTCACTCTGGAGTCAGGATGCAACATTTTTCCGCTTATGTAATATGGAGGTACGTGTACATGGTGTTGGAAAACATGATCAGATGGTGATATGACTACTGCTGGTACTGCCATACCGTGAGTGCAACCCATCGTGTGAATGTTAGCAGCAACTAAAATTTGTTACAATGGCAAAAACTGACAAATGACATCAGTAGTAAGTGCCGAAATGTCGTGTGGGCGGTGAATAAGCTGACCCACGACCGTACCGTGACGACGAATTTCAGCAAAGCTACATGTGTTTGTCATATCGTCTGCGAATCTAGCCATATTCCTTGACTCTTTTGCTTGTATTGCTTCAACACCTCCAACAGAGATCCCGACTACTTCTCCGTGTCACGTCCAACCAACTGCTTGGTTGAGTTGGTGCATACGTGATCCGTGCTCTGTGCTTGCAGTGCAGTGCAACTTGCAAGCGTGGAAATGAATGAAGAAGGTACTCTGATGTGAAATTTGAATGTAAAGTTTTATGCTGACAATATGAATGTATCTGCAATTATCGAACCGGTTAGGTTAGGGGTTGCGTTACACAAAAATTTGGCGAATCAATGTGTAGCCTGGGCATGCTGGGCCTACGCCGTAATGCGAAGTTCACATGGTCATTCGTTCACATTCACGATGTTGTTTGAACTGCGAGACGTGACTAACGTGAGGTCTATTGTTAATGTTCGTGTTTGTTTTAGCGCCCCCTATTGTCATTATTATTTAATACGGCATAGGCCTAGGTTTCAGTTCTCGGGGAAGGCCTAGGACTACCTGTAACGTAGAAAAAGTGGCTACCGCTATTAGCCTAAGGGGTACGTTCAGTTGTATTGGCATACCCGTTGTGTATGAATGGTCCTTTTAAATTAATGTTCATATGCCAGGTGTTGTGCTATTGAGTGCCCCCCTATTTGAACATGGTGAGTGCACTTTTTGGTTTGAGTAAAATAGCTTTTGTGTATGCTCAAATTTACTCACTTGAGACAGCTAGCACCCTCCTACAGATACCGAGGTGACTACATCAGTACATGTACGTCACGAACACAATTGTGTATGTAAAAGGCATTAAAGCGAGACCCAGCATGTGAACCAACACGTGTTTGCACTGCACTTTCGTGTTCACAGTGACGTCACTCTTCGGTACTCTATTGTGTCAGCAATACTTTTGCAGTAGGCTAATGTGAATACTTTTTTACAGTCGTGCTCTTACAGATGTACGGAAAAGTCATTAGGGCCGTAGGGGAGGGGAAGATTTGGGCATTTAGTCCCTCCAGGTCTTGTATGGGGACAACAGCAATGTCGGTAGATTATACGTTATGATTTAATGACCAGTGGGCTAGACATACATGTACATGTACATATACTGAGATCTATGCCCAAACTAGGCATTAATTCCGGATCCAACCCTGTATACTTAGCTGCAGGGTTACCCCACTTCAAACTTCACAAATAAGGACTTTATCATCAGCACAGTTTCCAACGTTGTAACTTTGTCATACAGTTGTCTTACTCAGACTCTTAGCATGCACTCTCAAGCCGTTTAGTCAGGCATGACAGTTACTTCTTTGCCCAGAAAATCGGATGGAGAACTTGGCTACATTTCCAACGCACAAAGTAGCATCTTGATACATTTCTTGAACCCCCTGCCTATTTCAGATTTTACAGCCCTCCCCCCCCAAAAAAAATTGAAACTGATTTTCAGTTTATGCATTTATTCTATCAAGTGGACTTCATGAAGTTATCATATGAATGGAATTCCTTTTTCAATTTTCAGCAGGTGAAGTCTCACAGGCTGATAGTATGCACTGACTGTTGTTGAAATACAGTAAATTCAAGTCGAGACGTGAGACAGAATTACAAAATGGTGGTACGTGTCTGTAACATACCAAGGTGCTTTCTGTGGAGTTTACATCTGTGGGTTGCCGAGGGAGACTTGTAGGCTCTCCAAACACCAGCATTGCAGATAGGCCCTTTTACTAGGAACCATCCTGAATCCTCCAAAATCCTCCAATTGTCAACATTTAAAAAATTGCATTCAGCCCAAATCCTCCACAATTTCTTGAAAATGTCATTTGGAGGTGTGCCTAACTGCCTGAATCCTTCAAATCCTGCGGCAATTCCTGTCATTATGTTGAGGCAGTGCGAATGGCACTTTTGAGCTGTGCAGCTGATTCAAAAGAAATATTGGGCTGAAGTCGTGCTTGACTATTAAGCACAAACAACATACATGTAAGGTCTAATCCACGACCTTTATGCACTTTTGCCCTACATCCTGAATCCTCCAAATTCCTCCACTTTGCAGAACAGAATTTGGGAGGGTTAGGGTTAAACGTAAAAAATGAACAGAAAAATTTCAGAACAGCATTTGGTTTAACTTCAGACAATGTCTTGTACATGTATATGTATATTCCCATCCAAACAATATCCAGGAAATCCACTGGAAGTCTGCATTGGGTTTTTACTGTCATGGTCCCATCCAACGAGACAAACTCCTTCAGGATCTTATAGGAATTGATCCAGTGTGAAGATGCATGTTTCTTTTGTGAGGCATCTAACAGTTTTGAAAGCTATTTGAGATACTGCTTTGTACAAGATATGCATGGGTCTTTTGTGTGTAGGACCTTATTGGAATGAACTTATGGTCCGCCAATTTTGGTGACTTGCAATCTTCAGAAACTAGATGATATTCCAAGTTTTGTTGACTAAATCTTGAGATGTGGTGGATACTGTGATTTGTTGCAACAGTGCTACTCAAAGCACATGTTCCTTGTGTTCCAATCAGTGTTCTTGAAAGAGTATCGGGTTTTTTGATGGATGGGGAGGGGGCTGTTTTGTATACCGTGCATTGTTCCATGCCAACCTTGCATGCCTCCCTGGAGCAAAATAAAGCACTGTTTTGTTGCTTAACCAGCAGAGTGCAGGAACAGTATTGCAGGGGGTCACAGGTCGAGTGTCATTTCAGTAAACTTTCTGATTAAAACAGAAATGGCTCTTTTGGTTTTTTTTGTAGCGTATTGGCTTGCAGATCAAAGCCCAGATTGAGAATCTGACAAACCTCTGCCCAGATGGGGAAGATTTCCGTTGGTACTTGAAGGTAATAAAGGACCTTTTATCCGTCCATTCTCTCACTTGTGGTTGTGGGTATAAATGCTCAGTATCAACTTGGACAAAGAAATCAAGTCTCACAGAAATGTTCCGGTCTAGGCAGCGCTATCAGTGTTGGGGTCACCGGTCATCACTAGTCCTTTCACAAGCACCTTCACAAGTTCAGCCACAATTCCTATTACAAGACCGGTCTTTAGTGATGAGGTGAATAATGATAAAGGAATGCTTCTTGACACAGTTCACAATTGCATAGCTTTTGACTTGACTTGAGACTGAATCACTGTGGTACTTGAGACCACTTTAGACCTTCACAAGACCAACACAAGACCAGCGCAAGACCTCCAGTCTAAATTCAAGTCGAAAGCTATTTAAATGAACTGCTACAAAAGCATTCCTTTGTGATTGTTCAACCTGTATACTCGTGCATGGTCTTGTGATGGTCTTGTGTCTGGTCTTGTGATGGTCTCGACTGCAATTCTCAGTGGTATATCCAGTGTGGGGGGGGTCCACATAAATGCCTAACAAACAGAAAATGCAGATTTTGATTTGGTACCAGGGTGATATCTGAACCAAACAAGCCAGTGAAAGATCAACTGCTTAATTTGTTTGAGACATTATGTACAATCATGCACTTTATTTCCTTTATCTAGATCAAGTGTTCCAACTGTGGATCAGTCACCGAATCATGGCAGTACGTCACTCTCACTGTAAGTCTACAACCCCCACGTGTTTTATTTTGACACTCCCTCTTTAAGTCTGTACACAGACAAGCCATGTTTGTATTGTTGTTTGCACATTTATTTGCTAAAGCCAACAATTTTGAAACTTTACGTTTACACTAGAAGCAACAGCTTTAACTATTCCTGATGGATTTGCTCATCTTCGTATGATTGTACCCCATCTTAACCCTCCTTGGGAATATGTACTGTCTTTCTAGTCAACCTTGTCCGTAGCATTGGACGGAGTTGTGCATCAGATGACAATATTTTTTGCCACGCATCATCGCATAATGTTTGTTTTAGCAGAGTTTCGGCATTGCTCTTTGGACAGAAATTTGTGAGACAGAGGTACCGGTAGGGGGTCCGAGCCCCACCTGTGCAATTTTGGAAAGGAAGTTGCTGTGTTGCAAGTGACAGGGAAGCACTGAACGGAAGACAGTGCTTGATGGAATGGTGTATAGACCAGCACAGCCAACTGAGTAATTCTGCACATGCGTGATAGGAGAAGTGGTCCGGGGGGTGGGGTCCATCTGATGTTTTCTCTGGGAAGACAGGAACAGGAGAACACAGGGATCGGGGTGCATAGGGACCAGGGAACATCAGTACACACGCCCCAAGTGGAGGTTATGCCTAGCACAATGGTGCCAGCACCTTGGCCCACTATGGGGGATTCGAACCCGCACTCTCAAAACCTCATAGCACTAGATTTCTGAACCAGAGATGAAGTAATGTGGTCTAAATCATTTCCTTACTATTTGTGATGCTCAGGAAAGTACTCCAACCAAAGGAGGACGTGGGTCAGCCAGCATGGTGTCAAAGTGCAAGATGTGCAGTCGAGAAAACCACCTGGGTTAGTTTCATTATCGCTGATTTCTGAGATCTTTTCTTGAAAGTCTGTGTCGCATATTTAGAATTTTTTGAATTTGTATGAGCTAATTTGTCTTTGCATGTTAGAGTACTTCCACTGAAGTTCCCCAAGATCAGCTTTAAATCTTTAGCTTCTCTGAAACTTTCTCCCACCATCCAAATTGAAAATGCCCATTTTTTTCTGGCTATATTATACTTTCCCATTTTCCCTTTTTTTTTCTATGTATTAATTGATGTTATGGTTTCTCTGGCCTTAATTCAACTTATTGCATTTGTCAAAGGCAAAAACTTTGGGAAAAAAATGAGATCAAAACATCAGATCCTCCAACTTTAACCACTTGCTGTTGGGTGGTTTGAAAAATGCAGTGCACACAAACTGGACATTTTCAAGATTTTCAGTTTTCGAAATTCTTCAAAAATTCATCACTTCAATTACTGGACACTTACACCCACACGAAGGGCTGTCTGGTTTCCACTCTAATCTGACAGACAACATCTACTTATGCAGGAGTATTTCAGCCAGGCCTGCTGCCTTGTAAAAAGAGCCCAGATTGTGCGGTGTTATGTAACTTTCTTTTGTTCACAAACATGGCTGCTGACCTCTTTTCAATAGGGGCCAGATTAGCATGCAGCGGTGCTGTGTGGCTCATTGCTGCGTTGTCGGAGCGCTTTTGTCCCCAGTGGTAATCCGCTCACACTAAATGCCCCAAACTGTGGTATACTGTTTTAAAACAAGGCTGGATTATCTCCACTATTGAGAGTGAAAAAAATGTTGGTAATGCCCAGCAGCCTGATCTTTTGTTACCAGTAGGGTCTTTTGTTACAAAGCCCTGTTCCCTTTGTCCGATATAAGGAATACGTGTCCAGTATCGGAAACCCCGGTGGCAAGTGGTTAAAGCATATTATATTTTAGGTCAGTATGAGTAGATTGAAGCAGCTTTTGTATTGTGTTTCATTTATATGCTCATACTTTGCAGATATACTCAAAGATTCCTACAGAGCTTACAATGCAGAGGACAGTGGTTCATTCAAGACTATAGTAGGGTTTGAATGCCGGGGAATGGAACCAGTCGAGTTTTCACCCAGGGTAACAAATGTTCCTCAGAACTTACAAAGTGTTCAAACCCTTCACTCCTGTGTGTCATGCTTCAGTATTTTGTCGGCAGATTGACAAAGTGACAAATCCATCCAGAAACTAACATTTTTAGGCAATTTGGGTTTTTTTGACATTTTAAGGCCTCTGCAGTACTGATTATCATAATTATAGATCTCTGATTACCATAATTTTAGACCCAGGATTACAAGATTCGTTAATTACACTAACTACATGAAGCACAAACTCAGGTTTGCATTTTGACAAAGTACATACCTTACAAATATCATTGACTTTGTACATGCATGCTGTTTTACGCCTGCAGGACTTGCATTTTGACGAAACGACAAATCTTTCTTTTGCAATGTGTTACATTTTATAAAAGTGGACGCGGTGTGCACAAACATGCCACATTACACATATGCTCTAGAATTTCCGTTTGGACAATTGACGTTCATCTTTACTATTTGATGCCTCCTACTTAAAAATGAATTTAGGGTAACAGAAAATTTGTAGGTTTTTCAACATATAGGCTGTTGCATCAGTTATTGGAATCGACAATGGAGGTTGCTGATATTTATTTATCTTTTAATTTACTGATAAGTGTTTCAAAAAATGTAACCAGTAAGGCCGGTTTTAGTATGCGTTTTTCAATACATTTTTCTTTGATGTTTGATTACTGATTTTCTTCCAGGTTGGTTTTGTGGCCAAAGGAGCTGAAACCACAACACAATTTGAAGTTGACTTAACAGAAGAAGTGAGTCAGGCTCAGTGGATTCTGTTAATTTAGGTGAAAGCCTTTACAAAAATGCCTGAATTTGAAAAACTGACTGTCAGTTTAGTTAATCATGTGAAAGTATTGATATTGAGACAATAAAACAAAATAACCAAGGATTAATATTCTGGACCCTTGTGGAATTTTATCAGTATGATTTCCTTGTTCTCAAGAATGTAACAAGGTGGATTGATTTTGTGGCGTAATCGATTGTGGATACTGTGCTCTTCCAAAGCAATTGTATGTATCAGGGTTGTGTAGTGATTTTTTGTTTGGTTTGGTCTGGGTTTGGCTTTTTCAGGAATGGGCAGATTATGACGAAAAAGTCAACCTACCTGTGAGCATTGAGGAATTTGAAAGCCGCTTTGTCACAATCAAATGAGCATCCCAAAGACAGAAACAGCAGCTGACAAACAGGGAGAGGATGACGGAGAGAAATGGAGTGATAATAATTAGAGTCTCTGATTTTCCTGATATAAATTTACTTTGTGAACCAAATCTGCATTCGGTTGTGTGGACAGACTTGGATTAGAACACACCAAAAGCTCTGACAACAGTCGTCAGCGGGCTTCAAGTGTATACATGTACAATGCTACCAGCTATTCTGACATTGGAGTTTGATGGACCAATGTAACAGCAGAAAAACTGTGCTGTGGGCCTTGACTGCCGGCATACCCCTTTAGCAAAGTCCTCACCTTAGATGCCAAATTACTTTACCATGTAGAATATGTGCCTTGCCAGTGACAACATTGTGTCAGTTCTTAATTTCTGTGATTTGTTATGTACTCGTAAAATTTGCAAAGTCTTAATTACAAAGTAATGTACTTGGACCCATAACTTGCATCAGTGAACTGCAAAGCATCTCGCTGTTTTCTTTTTGTGTAGTAATAATCAGCAATAATGCAGAACATCTTTCAATATGGAAATTGGTTTAGAACACACTCTGTTGTTATCATGACTTAGCCCTCGTGTAAATTGCAGCTCATTCTTACAATTGTGTCAAAATAAACTTCTTGGACATTTTCCTTTTTTAAATTTTGGTTTTCAACTTATATTCTTGACCAAGATCGAGGACAGATCCAGAACCAAATTTTCGGTGGGTGGGGAAGGGTTAAAGAGGTCAAACTTGTTGGTGGGGATGGGGGTGAAAAAAGTTGGAACTTTTGTCATAGAACCTAGTGTGGCCTTTTTGAAAGGCTTTTGAGGGGTTTTTTGTACAAGATATTGAAGCAAGAGAATTGAAATAGACCAAAAATTTGCCTTTCAGTATTTCTCAAGAAAAGTTTTGGCTCCTTGTGGGCATGGCCCCTGTTGCAATGCCCCCCCTGCCCTGATCCACCTTGATCATAATACCTTTTTTGTTTTGCTTATATTCTTTATAAGGGCATTTTGTTTTGTTTATTCATTGTTTTTTGTTGGATTTATTTAAGATAGTGGACATTATTTCCGGACAAAAATGGTTGAAATTTTAGTGTAACTGAAAGGTGTAAAAAGTTTGCAATAATGAACATTAAAAAATAGTTTCTCTTACAGTCCTCGCCTGAGTTGATAAAATATAAGCAGAAATAACCCCTTTTGCTCTTCTGAAAGTCCCCCCCCCCATCGTATGGGTTGTCAAAGCTAACTGGTAGCCCTCTCATTGTAGCTAAAATGCCGAATAGAACAGTCGTCGGATGCAGCTCGCTTTGCAAATTAAGTCACAATCCCTGCCGTCTTTGGATGAGAAGCCCACGCGATAAATTGCAGGGTAACCGAGTCACAGGAGTTGTTGACATGACAACGCGATATCAATAGATCCGGGTTATTGAGCTTGTGTGCGGGAAGGCAATGAATTGCGCTGAAGTAAATCACGCTTCCATGAATTAACGGGGCGTTCTTCTTTCTGTTTTGAAATTAAAAGGTAAGAAATGTGTCTTTTATTTAGAATTTCATTGGAAAATTGGTAACTGTACCGTGTCTTTGGTTTGTAAATTGCTATTTGGATATTTTTCAACTTCAAGAAAGTGAGAAAGCTAACGTTAGGCTGCAGCTAAGGTCCGACACTTTAAACCTTATGTTACTCTGTGTTAGTGTCAAAGTATTAAGATTGTTTTTCTTCAAGCCGCACTGCAAGAGCTAAGAAATGCCAAAATTGCACCTGTTTGAAGTCCATCCAGTCAAATTAGAACTTGCATCAGGTAACATAATGACAGCGGTAACCTAGACCTGAAGTGAAAAATTTTGATGGATAGGCTAATCTGAGAATTTGCAATCTAGGCCTAGGCCAAGTTCACACCATTCTCTGCACTTTCTGTAATCTTGGAGTGGTACTGTAGGCCTACTTCCCCTTTCCAAAAGTCTTCCACAAAAAGTTGTAGAGAAAGGAAAGGTATTCGGCTGATCAAAAAAATCATCAACCGTGCAGGCCTAGGCAACTTGACCATTTGCCAACTTGACTTTGGACAACTCGACCATTAAGACAACTCGAATGTCCAAGCATAAAAGGACTGTATTAATGTGTAGAGATCTCACTGGTCGAGTTGTCTCTCTGTCAAAGTCGAGTTGTCCTAACGGACGGCTTGGCAAATGGTTGATGAGTTATCTCAACAGTCGAGTTGTCTCAACAGTCGAGTTGGTAAACGGTGGAGTTGTCTGACATCCCCAAGGCCTACTACTGAAGTACTAGTTTTGATCGTGTTGGACAGTGATGAACAGTTATGTCTGTGAAATCTGACACTGATGTTTGATTATGCCTAAGGTAGAAGGATCAGAATTGTTTACTGACAAAACTACCAATTTATGCTTTCAGGTCAGTATGGCTATTGCCATAGCACAATTGAAACATGTCTTCGGTCTCAAGGGGGAGATCACAGGGAACATCAACTATGTGGATGAACAGACCATTGTTTACCCCTCCGGGGCCAACACCATTCTCTACAACATTGACCAGAAGTCACAGAAATTCATCCCAGGCTCTGACAAGACGCTGGGTACGACCTCCATGTGCGTCAGCCCCAACCGGCGCTATGTGGCCGTGGCCGAGAAGGGGGCGGAGAAAGCCACGGTCACCATCTACGACCTGCACTCGCTGAGGCGGCGGAAGGTGCTGAGCTCGGCAGACATCCAGTCCAACGAGATCGTCAGCATGGCTTTTTCCCCGGACTCCAAATACTTGATCGCCCAGGGCGGAAGGCCGGACTGGACGCTGGTGTACTGGACGTGGGAGAAATCCAAAGTCATGGCTGTCACCAAGACCACGAATGCAACAAATAATGATGTCTACCAGGTACCTCTGATCGCCTCTCATAATAATCAAAACTAATTTTACCGCTTAACATTACAGTCAAACCTTCATTAGAGAGAACTGTTATTGCAACATCCAACTTATAACAAGGAAAATGTTCGGCCCAAAGTCTCTGTGTAATATACTCTTTGATCATCAATACTGATA